CTCCGTGGGCATCCGGGTTCCCTGTTTGCTGAGGTCCCAGAGCACTGTGGCCTGGATGTGTGGGCACTGACTGGACTGGCAGAAGGAGGGATTTGACCAGGGCTCCACTGCTCTCTGGCCCTCTTCAGGGCTGATTGTTACCAGCTGTTCCTTAGTTCAGCCCTCTCAGCCTACTCCACTGGTGATAAGAGTGTTGGAGCACAGAGCAGGGGAACACAGGAAGGCAGTGCACAGCCGGAGCCCATTGGACCAACCCGAGGAGTGTAAGGGGCATTGTTCATAGAGAGGAGAATTGGCCCAGGTTTGCAGTTTCCTCCCTTTTATGGACCTACATTCTGGGGAAATAACAGGGAATTTCCCTTAGCCCAGGCCCCAACCCAGGCCACTGGTGTGCAAGTCTATGTCCTTGTCAACCTGAATAATCATGGTGTGTCCTGAGAGTAATGAGTGAACTTTGTTTGTGATAGGAATATAACCATAGTAAACCGTGGGCACGGGTGATTCTAAGGCATGATGAGGAGAACTGTGTAGGACGCCTTGAAGCTGCAGTCCCTGCTGGAGGCTGAGCAGGCAGTGGCATCACCCCGAGGGTGGGCAGGCCTGTGCAGACAGGTTCCTGCACAGCACATCTGTGTGGTCTGTGCATGGGCACAGTTCAAGAAGAGTCTTCGGGAGTAGCTCCTGTCCCCAGCATGAGCAACCCAGACCCCCCTTCATGACCTCTGGCTTTGTGAGTTTATTCGTTGATTAGGACTCCACAAAGATGACTCTGTTTTGATTCTGATGACTTTTAATCATCTGGTGGGTCTTTTGAGCCCACACTTGGTGTGGGCTGACAGTGGGGCGCCATATAACAGTAAGGAGCCACATATATGTGGCCACAGAAAGTTGAGGTTTGGATCAGCACCAACAGAGAAGAGCCACATAATGATTTAAAAAAGATGAAAGTAACTTTATTATAAAAGTACAGCAGACATGAGCATAGTCAAATAATATATTATCATACAGCGACACAGCACCAAAGATGAAGAGGAATCCTGTGGGAAAGGATCTTGCATGAGATGGACCTGTCAGTAGGTGAGAGAGAAAACACCACACCACATTTAGTTCCTCAATTTCTCAAGTACTGTGTTCAGACAAAGGTGCCAACAGGTCTGCATGGCTGGAAGGGAGCTTTCCCAGCCTTGGCTAGAAACAAGGACATACACACTAATAGTGTACTCAAGGCTCTCTGTAACGAACATTTCTTTCCCAAGGCTGAGTAGCCAGCCCCTCCTTGTAAGAAATAGCATGGAGCCAAGTTCACCTAGTGTATACACCCATTTCATTAACTCTCATTATTTTAACCCTTTTCTTGATCCTCTGCTGCCCATGGAAGGCGTAGGCAGGGACAGCAGGTTCTCACAGAGACCAGCTTCTCCACTTCATTGCAGCCTCCACTGCATGAGTGTGATCCCCTAGAGTTGCCTGCTGTGTGTTTGTGTGTGTGTGTCTGTGTGTGTGTGTTGAGTGAGGGCCATCTCCTCTCAACAGGGTAGGACGTTAAGCCAGAGGAAGATCTGTGTACCACATCCACGTAATGAGCTGTGAAATCGACATTCTGGGTTTTAATTATTATTGTGCCTTGCGGGAGTAGCTGGTGTGCATTGTGCTGTAGGCATCTCGGGCTCTTCCCACCTTTGGCTTTTATTTCTTTCCTTAGTGGTGGCTTCACAGCAGTGTTGGGGACACCCCACTGTGCTATAGGGGTGTCTGTCTGTGGGCAGAAAGACTGGCTCAGCGTGCCTGGTTGGCCCCTGGGCTGGGATGATGGCACAAACCTCAGGACCTGGGCAGCACAGTAAGTCTGCAGGAATCTCTTCCCGTAGAGCTCAGGGTCCCTAAGCCTCACAGGCACTGAGGATGTAAGGCGGAGGTGTCCCAGGTCCCTGTCTCTGAGCAGGTCCTGACAGCCCTGTGGGGTCCCAGCTCCTCTGCCCTATGTGAGCTGCCTCCTCCCTGACCTCATGTTTTGCCCTCAAACACGGACCCTGGGTCTTAGGTTCCTGCCTTTCTGTGCTATTCTCTGTTCAGCGCTGGGCAGATGGGGTGAGGAGTGGGCACCATTCCCTTGCCCTCAGCTTCCCCTCACCCCTGCCTCCCTCTTCCTCTCCCTCCTCCTTTCCCGCTTCCTCGCCCTCCTCGTCCTCCTCCCAGCCTTGGGAGCCCAGTGTGTGCATGATGGGAAGGAGCTCCATGTGTGAAACCCTGCAGGCCCCAGGACCACGTCCTCCCTGGAAGTAGACACTTCTTGTGGTGGCTGGAAAGGACAGGTGCCGGCAGTGGCTGTGGCTGCTGTGTTGAGGAGCCTGGATCCGAGAGTGGTGAGGGAGTGCTGGGAGCTTATACTCACACAGCGGGCTGCACTAGTTTGGCTTGAGGCGTGGTGGGGATAGAGTAGTAGGACTGAAGGGTCCCCAAGAGCCTGGACATGGAGCCCATGGAGTGCCCTTGCTTGGCAGCTGGTGGAGTCCATGGTTAGGGCCAGGGCTGCAGAGCAGGCTCACAGCAGGTGCTGGCAGGGTGAGCTTGTGGGGTTCTCTACAGAGCTCCCCAGAGCAGCAACTGCGGAGGAAAGTGGAACTGGAGTGTGCCCAGAGACACTGGGCAGGCAAAGCTTGTATGTGATCATGGTGGGTGACCTCGGGCCAGGGTTCAGATGAGGGCCCCCAGAACACCTGCCTACCAGGTTGGGAAGACAGTGACACAGTTTCCCTGTCCCCTGCCCTGCTCTCCCAGCCACACTGGGCAGGTGGGGGCCACAGCATACACTGTGGTGTGAATGGTGTTTGTGCAGGCAGCCTCTGTCATCTATCTAGAGGACTCTGGGATGGGTGTAGTGGGGCCAGGCATCCCCATCATGCTGGGCAGCATGAGAGCTGCAGGGGATGCAGAGCTCAGGCTCGCCTGCTCACCCACTGACAACAGTAGTGAGAATGACCAGTCAGCCACAAGGCTGAGGCCCTGGGACACTGCTTGGGTGCCCACAGCCAAAGGAGCAGGGGTGGGCTCTGTGTGACCTTTGTGCCCTGGCAGAGCAGCTTTTCAAGCTTCATGTGGTCCTTTTCTTCTGTTCCTTAAAACCTTCTCCTTGGATGTGAACCCAAGCTTCTCCTTGTAGCCCTGGTGAAAATATGGCTGTCATGAAAATAAATGTTGTATTTAACTTTTAAAATAATGGTAAGCTAAGTTGAAATAGAACAAGAAAGTCACCCTGGCTGGATGTAGTGATGAATTCTATAATCCCAGCTACTCACGAGGCTGAGGTAGGAGTGTCACAAGTTCAAGGGCAGCCTGAGCAACCTAGTGAGACTCAGTCTCAAAAAAACAAAACAAAACAGGAAGGGAAGAAGGAAAGAAGGAAGGGAGGGAGAGAAAGAGGGAGGGAGGGATACCCTGTCTTTTTGCAGACTCACACTAACAGGCCCTGGGCTCCCTGCCCTAGCCTGCCGACATCCTGCCTGGTGATCCATGTTGCTGGGTGTCTTTGTGTTGGGGTGAGTGCAGCCTCCCTGACCTCTACTCTGCAGGCATTAACGCAATGTGACAGCTGACAAAGTCTTCAGACATCCTACTCACTGCCTGTGAATCCCTTTGCCCTGGCTGGCCAACCTTGTGTGACAGCGGTATCCTGGTGGCCCTCAACAGTGGTTTGCTGCCGGCCCACAGCTTCCTGGTGGTTCACAGTGGTGGTGTCCCAGTGGCTTGTGGTGGCTGAGCTGGAGCACTTGTGTCCTGCTTTGTCTCCCTTTGGTTGTCTCTGAAAGCCAGGCTGTGGCAGCCTATGCTCCTTGCACCACTGTCCAGGGTGAGGGTCCTGGATCCGTGCTGGTTTTCCTCTCCACGCCCTCTAGCCTGCCCTGCCCTGGCCAGCCAGTGGCTGCCTCTCCTGCCAGTTGGTCTCCCTACCACCATCTGACATCCAACTGCTGTGCCTGAGATTCCATGTCTGGGGTCCCAGCTACATGGCTTCTGTGTTCTGCTGCTCATGGTTTGGGCTGCTGCTGATGGTTTGAACACTGCAGGGGCCATGGTACAGGCAGCCTGGTGCAAAAGCTCAGCTTCAGGAGGTGCGTGTCACAGCACAGAGCTCCTCTGCACAGACAGGGCTGCTGGCAAAGCCCACTGCTGGGCTGGTGCTGCCAGCCATAAGAAAGTGGAGCCCACATAGCCCAGTGTCTGCAGCATGGGGCCAGCAGGAGGAGCTCAGGGGTGGCTGCAGCACTAGGCTGAGCCTCAGGACTGTTCAGGGTGGAAGGCAGATGGGGAGTGGGTGTCTCAGGACTGACTGAGGTTTGAGACCAAAGCAGGTGGCTTCATCTGGGGTGAGATGGGTGGACTGCTCACCCTTGATGGAATGGCAGGAGGAGCCTCTGACCAAGGGATAGGACTAAACTCTTGTAGTCATGTGTCTGGACCAGACAGCTGTATGTGACAAAAAGCATGTGTCATGGCCTGTGGGGGTCTGTGATGGGGACCAAAGGTCCCTGGCCTGGGCCTGGTGAGTGTGTATGGCTTCTTGAGCCTACAGAGTAGGGGGGTGGTGCAGCATGATCTATGAGGTGGGGTGTGAGCCTGGAACCCCTATGTCCTGAGTTAAGGGGTTAGGAGGCAAAGCAAAGTTCCATCCGGTAATAAGGCCTGAGAATCTGGTGGCTTTGTCCAGAACATCCCTGGGAAAATGCAGCCAGTGTGTATCAGTTCAGCACAGAGCAGTGGGTGGGGGAGAACTCACACCTGTAGCCCCCTGGGTGTGGGCAGGTTGCCCATGGACTTAGCCCCTCAAGGTGAGGGAGGGCAGTTCTCACTGTAATGAGGACCCTGTCTGGCCCAGGCAGGGAGGACTGGACTCCTGGACAGGCTATCTTCTCCCTGGGACACAGAGGGCCCCTGGAAACCCGGGCCACCCAGCAGGTGCCTCGCCATTCCAATGACCCTGTACTGTCTTCTTCTTTTTCCAGAGCCTGTCCCAGCTCCCATATGGCAAGGCCCTCTATAGCTACGAGGGGAAGGAGCCTGGGGACCTCAAGTTCAACAAGGGGGATGTCATCATCCTGCGGCGCCGGGTGGATGAGCACTGGTTCCACGGTGAACTGCATGGCACACGGGGCTTCCTCCCAGCCAGCTACGTCCAATGCCTCCGGCCCCTGCCTCAAGCCCCGCCCCAGGGCACAGCACTGTATGACTTTGAGATGAAGGACCGTGACCAGGATCAAGACTGCCTGACTTTCACCAAGGTAGGGTCCACCAGATTTTGTGTCCACCACAGCTGTGCCCAGGGCAATGACACAGCCTCCCTACCACTGGGGCACTGATACCTGATGTCCACGAGGTTTGCTGGAGGATGTTGGAGGGACAGGGTGGCACATGGCCCCTCCACGGTGAACTCAGAGCTCAAGGTCTTGGGTGCCAAATGGGCTAGCCACTGGGCCCATTACCCAGCCTGGTTCTCAGCACTGTTGCAAGTACCTGGTGAGACCTTCCAGGGCTGTGGGCTCCTGAGGACCCTGCTCAGACCCGGGTCAGCCACAGGAACTAATGGCTCCAGGGCCTTGAATCACAGCTGAGCTGCAGGGGCAGAGGCTGCACAGCCCTGCGGAGCTCTCCAGAAGAGCCAGTCATATAGCTGGCCTGGCTACAGGCCCCTGGATCCCCTTGGTTCATTATCAATTCATTTGCAGCCCTCAAGGTCCAGGGGAAGGAGCTGGAGGCTGGCTCTCCACACAGGTCTTCCTCCTCCTCTTCCTCCTCCTCCCCCTCCTCCTCCTCTTCCTCCTCCTCCTCCTCCTCCTTCTCCTCCCTCTCCTCCCTCTCCTCCTCTTCCTCTTCCTCATTGTCTTTGGTCCTTCTGCCCCCTGCACCCCCACAGTTGTGAGTCACAAGCTTAGGATTCTACCTCACCTCTGCTGTGAGGCTGGGTCCTACTGCCATCCCTACCCCAGCAGCAAGTGCTCCGAGGACTGCATGAGTCCGTGCATACCACATTTGAGTGAAACTGGCAGGTCCCACACTGTCTGCTATTTATGTCTTGTTCTATTTTTCAGCCTGACAGTGAATAATGTGTTTCATTCAGGGATCCAACTCGTCCTTCCTTCCTTTCATCAAGGTGTTCAAATGCTAATACCCATTGTCACCTGGCTGGTGCTGCTTCTCTGAAGCCAGAGAGTCACCCTCCTCCCTTAGTCTGGTGCCTGGGTGGTTGCTTCCAAGCCTAGTTTGCTTCCCCTCCTTGAGAGACCCAGGAGCCTCAGTGTTCTGTGCTATCACATGTGACTTCATGGAGTCTGGCTGGGCCCTTGAAAAGGGGACAGATCCCGGAATGGCTGCAGGCCCTGCCAGCTCCAGCAATGGCTGGCCTAGGCCCAGGCTGACCCAGGCCCAGGCCTTCTTGCCAGGCCCTGTAGGAGGAGGCTGGGTAGAGATCTCCCTGGAAATAGGGCAGAACCAGGAGCTTACAGGAAATACACACCTGTAACAGGAAGCAGGAACAGTGTCCTCTGGTGGGAAAGTTGGTCAGCTCTCCTCACAGTGACTAAATCACCCTCAAGAAGCAGAGATTGGGCTCCCATCTCCTCAGGTTCCACCTGGATTCAGAGGGTTCAGTCTATGGCTGGCCCCCAGGTAAGAACATGGCAAAAGGGTATGATGGAAGAAAGCTGCTTGCCTTGGGGCAGCAGGAAGCAGAAGGAGAGAAAATCAGAGAGGAAGGGGCCAGATACAGTCCCCAAGGTCACCCTCATGGCCCAGTCCCTTCAACTGGGCCCCACCTCCTATGTCCTTCACCTCTGGATAAGGCCATCATGTTAGAACTCCATCAGTGGATTAATCAACCATAGAGTCAGAGCCTCATGACCCAATCACTTCCCAGAAGGAACCAGGCCATCAGCACAGTGAGCCCTTGGTGACATACTGGTCCCACCACAGCCTGCTCCACTTGAGGGGCTCTGTGGGGTCTCCCAGCCCCAGTCACGGGCCAGAGGACACAGAGTTGTCTACACACATGTGGGGGCATGGTTCTATGTCAGACACAGTGCTCTCTAAGTGTGGCATCTAGAGACACAGGCAACAGGTAGTTGGCAGGAGTGCATGGGCACTGAGCTGTTCAGGTTGCCCTGAGAAAGACATGGGCTAGTGAGGATGCAGAGCAGTTAGACGATAGAGCTGAATATTCAAGTTGGATGACACAGCCAAATACTTGAGGTCTCAAGAGCAGCAGCTGATTAGCCCTTGGGTAGGGACAGCTCTGTGGCCCATTCCTGGGGGGTGTTTGGGGCACAGCTGGCTCAGCCTCAGAGTGTCTATAAGGTGGGCTTGGTGATGGGGTCCTGGAGGGTGACCTGGAAAGCAAATCTGGACCCAGTTGGCCCTGAGAAGTTAGATCCAGTTCCCTGTCACCTGGATCACAATGTCCCCAAGGGACCCCGGGGAGGTGTCCTGTCACAGTGTCTTTTTCCAAGACTATCTCTCCTTGAGTCCTGTGGGCTTCTGTGGAGAAAGGAGTCCCTGGGTGTGATGTGATGCTCTGGCCCTCGTGCCCCACATCACCTTTCCCCCCACAATAGCTCTTGCCTGCTGCAGATCAAGGCATGGGCAGGAACACCCTTGCTAATGTCTCTGTCTGGCTTTCTCATGTCTGTACACCAGGCACAGAGGACACAGTTTCTGTTTCCTGTTGCTGGAGGACTCTCCAAGGGGTTCTCCCACCCCCGCCTAGTGGAGGCCCAGATTGTGAGCAGTGCCTGGACCATGCTGAGATGCACAGGGCTGCGTCCTGATGCCCTCCACATATCTCCACCTAGGGACCTGAGGGTGCCAGTGCACTTGCCTCCAGGAGCTCATGTGGTGTTGGGCACATAGTGCCAACATTCCCTTTGTGCTGGGATGGAGCATGTAAGAAACATGAAACAGGCAGAGCACAGTGAATTTTTACCTTTAGCTTTTGAATAGTTCTGTTAAAATTGCATTAAAGTCATTCTAAAACCAGTCTTTGTTTTATTTAAGAAGAGAATGCATAATTACCTTTTGTAAAGCAGCTAAAGAATGCATATTTTATAACTTCTCTGTAGTCCCACTCCAAAAAGCTGGGTACTTGCAGATACGAAGCTGAGTGACAGAAAAGGCAGTGTCTCCTCTGCCAACAGGACCGGGGTGCTCCTGGGCCCCACTGATGCCCTCCATCCATGGGATGCCCTGCATCTGTCCACAGGGTGCCTTGCACCCACAGGGGCTGGGCTTGTGCCAGTGACAGTCTGCAGGCTGGCTGTGTGCTCTTATAAAACATGGCCCCTGCAGGTTCAGGGTGACTCAGCTTCAGATCAGGACCTGGTGTCCTCTCTGGGATGGATGGCCATGGGGTCCAGGTCAGGGCTGGGCTTCAGAGAAGGTTACTCCAGCCCTGCAGTGGTGGTTTCCTCCCCATCTCATTTTTACGCCACCATGAGACTCAGCGAAGGTTTTCTCGAGCCACTGCCATGTTTTGGCAGGATATTGTAACTGTCTCCCCAGGGAGCTGTGCTTACCGTACATGGCCTGGGCTGCCTGTGTGAACTCACGCCACAGTGCCCAAGGAGCCTCCAGAGCTACAGGTCTTCTCTGTGCGCGTTTGCCCCCAACTTCATTGGGGTCCCAAGGCTCCCATGTTCAGAGGACACAGCCACTGCTCTGTCCTCAACCGGATTGTGAACCCCCTTGGCCACCCCCAGTCCCTCAGGACCAAAGAGAAGTTTTCTGTGGTTAAAGGCCCCTTTACAGGGCCAGGGATTTAGCTCAGTGATTTTGGCGCCTGCTGCACAAGCGCAAGGACCCGAGTTCAATCCCCGGTACCAAAAAAAAAAAAGCCCCTTACAAACTCTGCCTCCATTCCTGCAGGCCCACCCAGACTTCTGTCCTGGTACTGTCCCCAGGAGACCTCCACATGACCTTGAGTGCTTGATCACCATCTCTCAGAGGTGGGGGAGCTCTCTCCTGGGTGACAAGTCAGTGTGAACCCCAGAGATGCTCCTCTGCCCCCACTGATGTCAAACACAGACAGGATTGGACTCAGTCGCTTGGACTCCAGTCACTTTCTTGTGCAGTGACTTTGGAACATTTACTTAGTCTTCTGGGCTCATTTTTACTATAAAATGGAGCTGGCACTGGAATTGCAGGAGCAAATGCATTTGAAGAATGGAGCTAGGCAGAGCAGTCCTGTGAGTGTCTGCTGTCTGTGAACCCTTTCCTCAGGTTCACTCAGACAGTGATGCCACTTAGGTCATCTGGATGCTCCCAGGAACATCATACCCTGCCTGAGACATGCAGACCAGGAGCCAAGGACTCCAGGTCTCCTCTCTGCACTCCTTCTTTCCAAGGCCTCCTGCTTTGCTGATGTGCACAGCCTGGCCCTCAATCCTGGCTCCTGACCCTTGGGTAACAGAGCCAGCCCCTGGGCTGCTCCTGGGCACCTCTGAATGCTCTTGAGCAGTAGTTAGGATCCTTTGGGGCTGAGAAGACTCAGAACTTTTGCTTTCGGTTCTTTCTTTGTCCAGGATCCATAGCAGGATGAGCCTAAGCACAGCCCGGGGTCCTGGCACCCCATTCCCTCCTGAGCCCCACTGGGCTCATTTACCCAGGACAAGTCACCTGCAACCCTTGGGGACCAGCCCTCCTTTCCAGGCTCCCACCTTAGGTGTGGGGGTTCCTCCTGCTTGGCAGCCCTGTGGCTCCTCTGTGTGACCCACCCCCACCCCTCCACCATGTCTCATGTGCTTTAGTAAGGAAGTGCTTTAGTAAGCACCAGACTCAGGGCTTGGAGAGGGACAGGGAACAGGCGTACCTAGGCCCTGTTTTTCCTCCCTGTGACCTCAGTTGGGGTCAGAGATGAGGGACAGGTGACAGCTTTTGTTTGCAGGCAGAAGATGGGTTACATCTGCAGCACCCAGTCTGCAAGGATGCTGTGGCAGGCCGGCTGAGGGCAGGCCATGTGGGTACCTGCACTGGGCCAGGCTGTGAGCTGAAGATTTCCAGGCCTGCTGGTGACCATCTCTGGGCCCTGCTTCATTCCTGCTTCTTAGAAACCTTGGAATTCAGGAAGTGGGGACAGGGAGCCATGTGGCCTCCCGGAGAGCAGGGCTGTGGCCACTCATGCATTGTGGGACTGTCTTGGGGGCTCTATAAATGACACTGACACAGGGCTTGGGTAGGAGGATGAAATAATGAGCATGTGGATTCTGCCTTACCCAGAACTGCTGCAAAGGCTCCA